CAGCCTCCCAAAGGCGCGGGATTACAGGCTGAGCCACCGAGCCCGGCTAAAAAAAAAAATCTTAAGGAACAATGTTCCTTAGGGTAGTGTGAAACATGTTGCTCTGAGCTCTCTTAGGTCAATAATCCACAGTTTTCTTAGTTGTTTCCCGCATAGATCTTTTGGGTATAAACATTTTTTCACAGTTAGAGTTTAAAATATAAATGTTGGCCAGGTGCCGTGGCTTACGTCTATAATCCCAGCACTTTGGGAGGCTGAGATGAGAGGATGCCTTAGTCTGCAGGTTCAAGACTAGCCTGGGCAACTTGGTGAGACCTCATCTTTACAATAATCAAAAATTAGCTGGATATGGTAGCACACGCCTGTAGTTCCAGCTACTTGGAAGACTGAGGCAGAAGGATCACCTGAACCCAGCAGGTTGAGGCTGCGGTGGCCATGAGCATACCACTGCACTCCAGACTGGGCAACAGAGTGAGACACCAACTCAAAATAAAAATATATATATATAAATGTTTTCATACATATACATATATATATGTAATATATAAATAAATATATTTATGGCACAAACCAGGCTGAAGGATCTAGTTTTATGACCTTTCACATGTTATCAGACTACTCTGTATAAAGATTTACCTCATTTCTATCAACATCAGCGATTTATCAGTTTCACATGTTCTAGCAACAGGGAGAATGAGTGATCCAAAATGGAGGAAGACAGAAGTTAATGTCTTTTTTTTAGCTGGTCTCACTCTGTAGCCCAGACTGGTGTGCAATACCATGATCATGGCTCAACACAACCTCAAACTTCTGGATTCAAGCAGTCCTCCCACTTCAGCCTCCTGAGTAGCTAGGACTACAGATATGCACCACCATGCCCGGCTAATTTTTTTTAATCTTTTTGTAGACATAAGGCCTCACTATATTGCCCAGGCTGGTCTTGAATTCCTGGATTCAATTATTTCTCCTGCCTCGGCCTCCCAAAGTGCTAGGATTGCAGGCATGAGCCACTGTGTCTGGCCAGTTAATGTCTTTTGTGACCACCTTTGGAAATCATTTCTGCACCATCTTTTTGGTTATTAAGGTCAGCCCTATCCAGTGTGGAAGCATACTGCCCAAGGGCCTGAATACCAGGAAGCAAGGATCACTGGGGTCATCTTGGAGGCTGACTGCTATTCCCTGTCCTCTGTCCCAAATGATTCATGTCCTCCCACGCGCAACATACACTCATCCCTCATCCCCTCCCAAGGCCTCCAAAAGTTACATCCCATTAGCATATCAGCGTCAACCTCCAAAAGCAGTATAGATTTATATTCCTCAGATGAGACTTTTTTTTTTGAGTTGGAGTCTCTCTCTGTCATCCAGGTTGGCTGGAGTGCAGTGGCACACTGCTCATGGCCACTGCAGCCTCAACCTGCTGGGCTCAAGCGATCCTTCCACCTCAGCCTTTCAAGTAGCCAGAACTACAGGCATGAACCATCATGCCTGGCTTATTTTTTGACTTATTGTAGAGACAAAGTCTTACCAAATTGCCCAGGCTGATCTTGAATCCCTAAGCTCAGGCAATCCTTTCACCTAGGCCTTCCAAAGTGCTGGGATTACAGGTTTGCACCACCATGCCCGGCCTAGGAGATTTATTGAGTGTAGTCCCTTGAGTATAGTTCTTTGACCCAAAAGACTCAGGCGGAATAGACCCAAGATAGCTGGTAGACATGCCCTTTTAAAAAAGAGAAAATTGCCGGGCTCGGTGGCTCAGCCTGTAATCCCGCGCCTTTGGGAGGCTGAGGTGTGTGGATTGCCTGAGCCCGCAGGTTCGAGCCCGCCTGGGCAGCAAGACCTCATCTCTACAATAAATCAAAATGAGCCGGGCGTGGTAGCACGCGCCTGTAGTTCCAGCCACTTGGAAGGCTGAGGCGGAAGGATCGCCGGAGCCCAGCAGGTCGAGGCTGCGGTGGCCGGGAGCGGCCACTGCACTCCAGTCTGGGTGACAGAGTGAGATTCCAACTCAAAAAAAAAAAAAAAAAGAGAGAGAAAATTGCTGGGCTCGGTGGCTCAGCCAGTAATCCCGTACCTTTGGGAGGCTGAGGTGAGTGGATTGCCTGAGCCCGCAGGTTCGAGCCCGCCTGGGCAGCAAGACCTCATCTCTACAATAAATCAAAATGAGCCGGGCGTGGTAGCACGCGCCTGTAGTTCCAGCCACTTGGAAGGCTGAGGCGGAAGGATCGCCGGAGCCCAGCAGGTCGAGGCTGCGGTGGCCGGGAGCGGCCACTGCACTCCAGTCTGGGTGACAGAGTGAGATTCCAACTCAAAAAAAAAAAAAAAAAGAGAGAGAAAATTGCTGGGCTCGGTGGCTCAGCCAGTAATCCCGTACCTTTGGGAGGCTGAGGTGAGTGGATTGCCTGAGCCCGCAGGTTCGAGCCCGCCTGGGCAGCAAGACCTCATCTCTACAATAAATCAAAATGAGCCGGGCGTGGTAGCACGCGCCTGTAGTTCCAGCCACTTGGAAGGCTGAGGCGGAAGGATCGCCGGAGCCCAGCAGGTCGAGGCTGCGGTGGCCGGGAGCGGCCACTGCACTCCAGTCTGGGTGACAGAGTGAGATTCCAACTCAAAAAAAAAAAAAAAAAGAGAGAGAAAATTGCTGGGCTCGGTGGCTCAGCCAGTAATCCCGTACCTTTGGGAGGCTGAGGTGAGTGGATTGCCTGAGCCCGCAGGTTCGAGCCCGCCTGGGCAGCAAGACCTCATCTCTACAATAAATCAAAATGAGCCGGGCGTGGTAGCACGCGCCTGTAGTTCCAGCCACTTGGAAGGCTGAGGCGGAAGGATCGCCGGAGCCCAGCAGGTCGAGGCTGCGGTGGCCGGGAGCGGCCACTGCACTCCAGTCTGGGTGACAGAGTGAGATTCCAACTCAAAAAAAAAAAAAAAAAGAGAGAGAAAATTGCTGGGCTCGGTGGCTCAGCCAGTAATCCCGTACCTTTGGGAGGCTGAGGTGAGTGGATTGCCTGAGCCCGCAGGTTCGAGCCCGCCTGGGCAGCAAGACCTCATCTCTACAATAAATCAAAATGAGCCGGGCGTGGTAGCACGCGCCTGTAGTTCCAGCCACTTGGAAGGCTGAGGCGGAAGGATCGCCGGAGCCCAGCAGGTCGAGGCTGCGGTGGCCGGGAGCGGCCACTGCACTCCAGTCTGGGTGACAGAGTGAGATTCCAACTCAAAAAAAAAAAAAAAAAGAGAGAGAAAATTGCTGGGCTCGGTGGCTCAGCCAGTAATCCCGTACCTTTGGGAGGCTGAGGTGAGTGGATTGCCTGAGTCCGTGGGTTCGAGACCCGCCTGGGCAGTGAGACCTCATCTCTGTAATAAATCAAAAATCAGCTGGGCGTGGTAGCACTTGCCTGTAATTCTGGCTACTCGGAAGGCTGAGGCGGAAGGATTGTTGGAGCCCAGCGGGTTGAGGCTGCGGTAACTGGGAGTGGCCACTGCACTCCAGTCTGGGCGACAGAGTGAGACTCCAACTCAAAAAATAAAAATAAAAATAAAAAAATAAAAAAGAGAAAGTTGATGCCTGTAGTTCCAGCTACTTGGAAGGCTGAGGCGGAAGGATCGCAGGAGCCCAGCAGGTCGAGGCTGTGGTGACTGGGAGCGGCCACTGCACTCCAGTCTGGGCAACAGAGTGAGACTCCAACTCAAAAAATTAAAATTAAAATTAAAAAAATAAAAAGTAAAAAAGAGAAAATCGATGCCTTTAGTTCCAGCTACTCGGGACGCTGAGGTGGGAGCCAGGGATTGCGGCCAGGAGTTTGAGGCTACAATGTGCCATGATTGTGTCTGTGAATAGTCATTGCATTCCAGGTGAGCAACATAGAGATGCCCCACCTAAAAACCAAATTTATGTAAAATATATGTATCGCAAGACATTTTTCTCTTATTGAAGCCATGTATAAAGTCTCTTTTTCTTCCTTTTTGATAGGTATCGATTGGCAAGTACAGCCTCCTTTATCAGGACTTCCTCCTCTTGGTAAAGTGTCTCTCAACAAGGAGCTTCGTTTCAACACTTCCATTGCCAATTTAGTCATTCTTCGTGGGAAGGATGTGCAAAGCGCAGATCTGGGTAAGAAGTTAAGGTGAAAATTAAGGTGTAGCCAGGTGTGGTGGCTCAAGCCTGTAATCCCAGCACTTTGGCAGGCCAAAGTGAGAGAATTGCCTGAGTCTAGGGGTTCGAGACCAGCCTGGGCAACTTGGCAAGACCTCGTCTCTACAATACATCAAAAAGTTAGCCAGGCATGGTGGCTCACGCCTGTAGTTCCAACTGCTTGGAAGGCTGAGGCGGAGATCGCCTGAGCCCAGCAAGTCGAGGCTGCGGCAGCCATGAGCGTGCCACTGCACTCCAACCTGGGTGACAGTGAGGCTCTAACTCAAAAAATAAAAAATTAAACCGGGCTCGGTGGCTCAGCCTGTAATCCCACGCCTTTGGGAGGCTGAGGTGAGTGGACTGCCTGAGCCCGCAGGTTCGAGACCCGCCTGGGCAGGCGAGACCTCATCTCTACAATAAATCAAAAAATTAGCCGAATGTGGCAGCGCGCGCCTGTAGTTCCAGCTACTTGGAAGGCTGAGGCGGAAGGATCGCTGGAGCCCAGCAGGTCGAGGCTGCGGTGGCCGGGACTGGCCACTGCACTCCAGCCTGGGCGACAGAGTGAGACTCCAAATAAAAAGAAATAAAAATTAAGGTGTATATTTTGCACGTGTACATGGTACATGGTATACATAATTACATGTCCTTGTATTTTTTTTTTTTGAGTTGGAGTCTCACCCTGTTGTCCAGGCTGTCCTCCTGGCTCAGCCTCCCAAAGTGCTGGGATTTCAGGCATGAGCCACACACCTGGCCAGAATTCAGCTTATATCCAATTTAAACCACTTCTGTTTTGGTGTCTGGTCACAACTAACTGATACAATGGTTATATTTTGCCACTAAAACACATTACTACTTTCTTTTCTTTAAGAATACAAGGGCAGCCGGGCTCAGAAGCTCAGCCTGTAATGCTGCGCCTTTGGGAGACTGAGGTGAGTGAATTGCCTGAGCCTGCGGGTTCAAGACCCGCCTGGGCAACTTGGCGAGACCTCATCTCTACAATAAATCAAAAAAACTAGCCGGGCGAGGTAGTGCACGCCTGTAGTTCCAGCTACTTGGAAGGCTGAGGCAGAAGGATCGCCGGAGCCCAGCAGGTGGAGGCTGCGATGGCCAGGAGCGGCCACTGCACTCCAGTCTGGGTGACAGAGTGAGACTCCAACTCAAATTTAAAAAAAAGAATACAAGGGCTGGGCTCAGTGGCTTAGCCTGTCATCCCAGCACTTTGGGAGACCAAGATGAGAAGACTACCTGAGCCCGCAGGTTTGAGACTAGCCTGGGCAACTTGGTGAGACCTTGTCTCTACAATTAAAAAATTAGCCAGAGCCGGGCTCAGTGGCTCAGCCTGTAATCCCGTGCCTTTGGGAGGCTGAGGTGAGTG